GAATAAAGGTTCTCTTTATGTACCGGTATCTTTTCCTCTTCTTTTTTTTCAAAGCACCAGTACATCTAAAATATGTTTAAAATATTTTTTTTTCAAATTAAAGAAATTCATTCTTATTGTCAATCATGAATACATACATTTACATGGGTATATTATATTCATATCTTATTAGCTGCAGTTAAATTATTCTCTATTGAGAAGCTGATTGCTCCTTTTAATACCCCCCCCCCCCCCCAGGGGGAGTATTAAAACGAGCCATCAACTTCTCAATACAGAATACAGTTAAATATGTTTTGTTCTTTTACAGTGAATCTGAATTATATGACTTCTTTTTAGGCTAAAAAATTTATTTATGTGTTTCCGTTAAGTCGACCATCTCTAATTTTTACCCACCACCTACCGGTACTACTTTATTGGCCAAATCAGATTTTAAACTGTACCATTGGCGGATTTAGAGGGGGCCCTGCCCCCCCCCCCCTTTTGTGTCCAAAATATACATCAGATTTAATAAATCAATTTTTTGGTGTGGCCTTGAGCCCTTACCCCGACACCAAACTGGTCCCTTCCCCTTTTCAAGATTCCTGGATCCGCCACTGTGTACAACGTTACCAAAAATATATGTTTTTTTATATTAAATTGCCTTGTGTATATTTTTCATTTCATACAAACTTACATCTTCTATAACATTCTCCTCCTTTTGATAAACTTTGTAGTTATGATTTGCCAAAGGAAGTTGCTTTCTGAAGCAAGCAAAAATTCCTATAATGCAAATATATTACTAAGATGTATATCTGGAATGTCCTGCTAACATGGTGATCTTTGAATATAGACCAATTAAGTCTATTATATAAAAAAATTATTTAATTTAAAAATTATGTCAATTTAATTGAAAAAGCTTCTTACATGTAGTTTTTATACAAAATAAATATTTGAAAAAATTCAAATTTATACCTGTGCCTAGGGTTGTTCTAACCATTCCCACTGACTGCCGTATCTTCTGCTTGTTGTATTCCTCCAATTGCATCTTGCATTTTTCTCATGGGTTTTAGAGAGTACATGGAATCCCACATGATGGGAATACAAGTCAGACTTCATGAAATTTGTTTCAATATTTCGCAAAGTGAATTTGACTTAAAAATCTATTATTAATAAAGACCTATACATCATTATCAAGTTGAATGCTGAGAAAGCAGTGTCTCCTTCTTTTGATGACTTACTTTGTCATTCACACCTGAATTCCATTTTAAAAAGTTGAAAAACACATCATTTTTCTGTTATTGTTTCATGTTTATTTTTCTGGCGTCTGTTTTTGCCACATGTTGTTATAAACTTCTTTAGACTTCAATACAGGAGAGTCAACAAAGGGAAATAACACCAGTTTAATTTTTTGTCTTCAGTGCAAAAGAGTCAGCAAAGGGAAATAATTCTAGGTTAATTTTTAGGAAAAGTTATTATATGAGGGGATTGGAATATGACTTTTAACTGATTTCCCCACCTCAAATCTTTTTGCATCTTTTAGATCTAAGCTCGATCTTACTGAAAATATCTTTTTTGTAAGTTTCAATTGCCTGCAAAAATTAATATGCATATCAAGAAATAGGCACCTTTGTATTCATTTTTATGACAAATTCATGTAAATTGATCTGTATTATATTAAAAACCTTGGGTTAAATTAAATAAAATTTAGATGCACAGAAACTTTAATTACTTAGCTATAAAATGAAACCCATGTTATGTTGATAACTTTCCTACATTAAGGAAGCACGGAATTATTTTACATGGTGATGACAATCAGGTCAGTTTTGCCATAACAAAATATTTCAAAGTAGTTGCTATGGAAACCAAGGAGGTACTGTCCAAAATTTACCCACCAATAGTCTTTATATAGGGCACTCTCTAATATTATAGTGATAAAATAAAATTCCATGATAGTGCGTGGCCAAGCATTTTTGGTCCTTACAGAGAATTGATGTTAAAATCTCTCTCTTCATTGATTAAAATATCTCCATAATATAAGGAGAGAGATATATTCTCTTATGCACACTCCCTTTCATAACGTTTTATGTATACATGTCCTTCTTAAAGTTAGATACTTCAGAAGATAGTCCAAAAATTGCATAGCTAAAAGTTCGCCGGAATCTTACTGATGATAATCAAAGTGAAACCTTGCATGTTACTTGTGGGTGGTCGGGGCCCGGGGCCGGGATTGTGAAGGTACACAGAAGAAAAAAAATACGAAAAACTCTATATAGAGTGCAGAAAGAGCAGATATTGAACTACTTATTTTATTCAAAAATGTTAGCCGTAAAATATCTATATTACAGAATCCCCCCTCTCTCTGTCTCTCTGGAAAAATAAAGTGGACCGGTTCCAACCCCCGGAATCCCCCTCTGGATCCGCCAATGCACATATACATGTATATTGTGCTTAATTTTTTTTATCAGTGTACAATTATTTGTACAAGGGAGGTGCTGGTCAAGAAAACTTGACAAATAATTCATAGACAAGTAGTTTACATATACACATTTTACTCATTATTTACATTAGTGTAGTAACGATTAAATAATTCTGAATTTTTTGAAACATGTTTCAGTTCCTTTTTTTTTCTTCCTTCTCTCAAATCCATTTTATTATTATTATTATTTTTTTTTTGCTTGTCATTTATTTTTTAACTTGACATCCCACTTGCACTTCATCTCACTCCTTATAATAAACAATGTCAAGGGTCATACATGTAAAATATGCATCTTGTTTCTGGAAACATATTTGAAATATGTTGAAACCAGACAGCATCCTTTCTTTAAAAAGGTTACTTTTCACGTTTTTATGCAGGTGGATAAGAATCATCACGCGGGCCTTTTTAATGAAATGATTGACATGAAGTTACAAAAATATTGATTGCTGCTACATGTAGTTATAAATAATGTATGTACCGACATGGGGATTCATTAAGGCCGGACATGTGCATTTGACGGATCAGCACATATGAGTTCTATTTAAATTTTGGATCCAGTTTACAGAGATATTTCTTAATTATCTCAATGCTAAATTTCTAATGATATCTTTTTTAGATAATTTTCCCGTTTCTAATTAAATGCATTTAACAAAACAGAAAATTAGGTCCATAAAAAGCCTTCGATTTTTTATGATAAGCATTTTAACCGCAATATTGATTGCATGTTTCTTCTATGACGTCAAAAATGACGTATAACGAGTAACGTCATGTACAACATACATGACCATAATATACACCCATGTTTTTTTTTTTTCCAAATATGATTTCAGAAAATGTAATTTTTAGATTCTTTACCACATTTAGTGTCTTAAAAACGAACAATCGACTGCTTTTCTATCGCCTTGTGTCTTATCTATGGATCTTTAGTGTAATATGAGCCACCCATTACTGAGCAATAGTCACTGGTTATTGAAATTACCGGATTTTTGAAAGCATCAAAATTTAAAAGTAGTGTCAAATTTGTCAAAGCACAAACAACGCTAATAATTGAAATAAAGAATTGTATTTGTGGTATTTATACATATAGTAAGTATGAAAGTTGTTCTTGCCCGTAACCCCATCTAACTTTGGGGGGAAAACCTGTTGATAAATCGGCATTTCTAACGCTTTTTAAAACCAGCATACATTCCAATCGTCTCATATGCCTAATGACGCCTCACTTAACATTTTTTTACATGTGGGATGAGTGCGTTTCCACTTACATTATCAATATATTTATACCTCATGAATCGATCCTATAAGTTTGTGTAAAACACGAAGACGTATATGATGGATCGTGGCCAAAGCAATTTTCACACGCACTGAAATTTTATTTTATTTTTTTTCAACATGAGCACACTCGTTACCGCAAAATATTTTCATTGGAAAATGTTTCTCGAATAGTTATTATTCTTTTTCTGTTTTAATATTTTGCGGTAACGAGTGTGCTGTATGTGTAAATCACGATTAATTGTGTAAAATTTGGCATTTTCCCGGAAAAAACCGAACCACGGTGAGGTTTAGAATTTGGTTTGACATAATAAATATCCGGTTTTGACGGAAATGTTGTACATGTGAAATGTATTAATGTTCTAGGGTGAGAATTATCAAAAACATATATTCTAAAGCCCTTTTTAATTTTTTCATATTTACTAGGCCAAATAAGGCATATTGTGGGTCGAGTTCTTTCTATATCACTTTAATGTTAAATTGAAATACCTTCATGCATTAAAAGTAGTTAGAGCTGAACGCTATCTGTCAACAGAATTAATGAAAATCAATTGTCTTTTCTCCCTTTCATTGCATATAAAACAATTCTTGTAAATGTTTTATAACCGAGATGTGAGCTTTCTGTCTCCACTGTCTATAACAATGTCTTAGTATATTCTTAAGATTAAAACATTACTTAAATTAGTAAAATTAAAATTTGATATTTTAAGGAATGTAAATACATAAATGTATATGTAAAATATGAAAATAACAAACAGTGATCAAAGTAACCAATCAAGTAAAGAATACAAATCGTGAACAGGGCAAAACACGGAACAATGGGAAAACTAGAGGTAGGATTGTGTGCCTAGGAGGAGTACGTATCCCTATGGACTGCTTACACCCGCTGTCAATAAACACTTTTAAAATTATGCTTTTGGGGGAAAATAGATAAGCAAGTACAAACATTTTTCCTAGTCTGAAGTCAGAAAATAATTCTTGACAGATTATTAAGTTTCATACATTTGTTATTTTCCTTATGTAAATAGAGAACAATTATCGAAAGCCTGAAAATTTCATGATTATAATCCTGAAAACGTGTAAAATAAAAAAAAAATGAGTTTAACATGTTAATAGTTTTGACTGTTCAGAAAACATGAATTTTTAATCTGAATCAATCAAAAAGTTAACGAATATATACATTGTTGCCACTAAAAATCAACACAGAGAGATTAAAATAATCATAAAAAGTTGGAATAATGCAACAATAATTATACTAATGAAAATAAGTGTCATTTATGCAAGATGTGATTAACAGATCCACTTATATAACGCCTGATAAAAAAAGATACACTAATTTTTTTCATATATATACCTTTGCATCTTCAAAAATACATGGAATGCATGTCTATTAGATATCGTTATCTCCTGACCTTTTTGTTTCACGCTAGATAATACAGAGGTTTTGAGACATGTTTGTGATTACAAAAGACAGTCGCCTTTTTCAACGTATCCTATCTATCTAATTAAGTGATTGTATTCTTGATTAAAGTCATTGAAATGACTGTAGTTATCTGTTGAATCGGTGTGTAGATCCTCGGTTGCGTGTAATGTGTTATAAACACCATCAATCACTTGATTGTTACCGTAACGGTGATCCATTCGATTATCGTCTTCAACTGTCTCATAAGTATTAAGTACATCATTGTGTTCTAATGCAAAGTAATTACTTGATGTCGTTTGTTGAATGTTTAGTTGAGTATCCTTGTTTGGTATTGGTGTACTATTCAATCCCATTTCTCTCTCTAACACAAAATAGTTATCGGTCGTTGGTCCGACAGGGCTGTCATTAGAAGTATTGGTTATCTGGGATTCATCTACAGTGGAATATTCACGGTGATCTAAAAACTGAAACATTTTTAAATTCAGTATATGTTGTCTCTTTTTCCATTAAAATGTTGATTATGAGTGTTGCTATAGTATTTTTTAATTATCTTCAGATACTTATTACATAATGCATGAGGAAACCTACGTCACGAATTCCCCAATGATAACTAAATTTTAAATATTTGGAAAGGGGGAAAGAAAAATAGAATATGCATTTTGAATGCGTTGTCGATATAACAATACATGTATATTTGAACTGTGTAAAAAGGAAATTTTCAAATACGAAAAGAACAGGTTTGTAATACAGTGAATTATTGAAAACATATAAGTCTAAGGGTATTTCATGTATCTTCTGAGAAAAAGAGTCGGCCAATTGTAATTTAATGTTGGAACTTGATTTGTTAGTTATTAATATAAAGAGAAATGTTACACTGTACCAACAGTCAGTCTCTATCAAATCACAGCAAAGAAAAGTACATATAGAAAGGGTACGAAGAAGTGATTTAGACCGCAACATAGAGGAACAGTATAGAGTGTAAGCCACTATCTCTGGTCTTCGTTTTCTACTCCGCGAGATAGATGTTGACCCGTGAGCAAAAGAACTCCGTCAAGCCATGTCAATCATAAAACTAGCATTAAGTGATTCTAACATGTACACTTCACTCAAATAGTGACACTCTCATTAACAATATGTGTGTCATGTTAGCAAATCACATGATGGAGCTGAAAAAAATTAAGATTATGTTACCCAAAACTGTGACGGAATGAAAATGACAGAATAATTTTACACTATCCGCCTTAACCATTTCTTTTCGGGGGTAATAAAAATATTCATATTCATATTTCTCACAATTTATATGTAATATACTTGTTTGTCGTGTATGCATTTTACAACATCATACCTGTCTCTTTGCTTTTTTCATCGATTTCCTGAAAGTAAAGCAAATCTTTATCACTTATCATCATTTTCTCTTTTTTTTTTGTAAGCGTTTGTTGCAAAATGCAGATTGAAAAAAAGCACATTTCTAACGTCATTACCTATAACGCCGGTATAAAAATATACCAACTCCAATGACGAACAATGATAAACAGACCAATATGACAGGTACTATGACATAAGGATGATCGTGTGGTATCTCTGGGGTTACCAAAACGTTCCTTCTTGATGTTGTTTCATTCTCTGTTGATTTTGTTGATAATATATCAGGAGAGGATTTAGATTGACGATTAACTGGTGGAGATGTTTCTTTTTCAATTTCTTCAATACGACAATAAACGATAACTTAAAAAGCTTGGTTGTTTTATTATTCAAGTATAAAATAAAGACTTTATTCTATTCATTATATACTGGTATTTATACTTGCAAATACCATATCAGGTTTCTTTGCTTTCACATTTGTTTAAAGGAATGTGTATCATTCTCCTAAAAATAAACACATTCAGCATGCGATCAGCATGCAAGAAATATGGAGATCAGTAATCAAGCTCAAAAGTACTTTGAAAAAATACACATTGGGAGAAGAGCAATCACGGACCAAGCAGAGATTGTATCAGGTGCCATGGAGGAGTAAGCATCCCCAGTTTAATCAATACGCACGAACATGCTCTACGTACGAACATTTTCTAAAATGAGGTAAGCTATTGACAAATAAATTGATGATACAAAGATATCAACAGTCTCGTTTAAAGTCAACATTTTACAAATTCTGTTGTACAAACAATGATATGTTCACAAAAACAATCTATCGTTTAGTCGATTGATGACTGACGTTTTTCATATAAATTGTTAGACTATTATTTTCTTAACTGTCTACGGATTTTTCGTTTGCCGGATCATGACAAGGAGCACACAGTGGATATGACCGCTTTAATTCTCCATAGCACCTGATCCCACATTTGATGTTCTAAGAGGCCCTGGATTGCTCTACTGTCAAATTTTTTGTTTCAAAGGACTTTGGACTGATTACTGTTTGGTATCTTCATATTTCATATACACTTGCGGAGTAAATATATTTGACTGTGCACAAAGATGGAGTTTAAGGAAACACGTTTTTCATTATGTATACTTCGTCTGGCATCAATAATACTCTTGCAGTCACTGAACAAATTGAATCAACTTTGATCCATTGAGGTTCAGCAATTTTAAAAAGATTTAAGGTAACCAAGCTTGTAAAAGGGACAATGAACTTTTAATGAAAAATATACTCTGTGTTTAAAGGGGAAAATGCCTTTTGTACTGTATTTTACATAAAACTAATGTTACATACCTAGAGACACAAAAATTACCCCGTTACAACAATTTCTGACATCGTTGAATGTTGCTCTTGACTTGTTTTCATTGTAATGCACTGTTGTTTGGAACTTTTGACCATCAAAAGTAACGCATGATGTTGTGCTTATTTTTGTGACGTTCCTGGCGTATGGTATAGAAAGATATATCTCACGACAGCAGTTAGGAAAGGAACAATTTACGTCCTCTTCTTCTGACATGGTTTGTCTGGACTAAAATTAAAATTATTTTTATTCAAATCGTACTGCTTTTGTATCAGGCAAATACCAAATAATGGATTTATTTCATATATGACTTGTCTTAAGAAAACATATACTCATCAACCTAACACCATTTATAAAAAAAACTATAGATCAATCCTCATTTTTTATGTGAAAACACAACTTACATAATTAAGAAATATGTTTTTCAAGAAATCTTGATAAAATGCTCTTTTATAAGCACGTTACATTATAAAGTTGATTCTATTTTATGGGAGAGTAAACCTATTTTAAAAAATTGTTATGAATTTGTTCATTTTCTAAATTATTGAATTAAGCATTGATCATTCATTACTATTAGACATTCACTCGGTCACTAAAACAGAACACTTAAGCCTTTCTGTGAAATTTACTTACTTTATGGCACTAGTCTCAGAAACATTCAAGATAAGTTACCTTTTTTTCTGTATTTTTGTTTACAATATCGTCCGGAAACGAAAGTGTTCCATACATAAGGAATGACAGACGGACAGACAAAACCAATAAATTATCCCCCTTTCAGTGAAAGCAGTGGACAAAATGCAAAATACAAAGTTGTATTGATACATGCGCTTAAATTTTTAACATTTTCTTGTCATACCAACCTATACACCACAAACATGTTATAAATATCATTTCCCATAATATCCACCTATACATGTATGTTTCATTATTAAATGAAGATATATACATCAAAGAAGGTAGTAAAATAATAGGGTCTGGTTTTAGTCTGTGTTTTTGAACATATTAATAAAATATACAAAATATGTATATAAATTCCGATTCAAAATATTGATCAATATAACAAAATAAAAGCTGATTGAATTTAAATGAAACATTATATGTAAATCATTATACAATACAGTGTACCTGCTTACAAGGAGCCCCTTCTTTATTCTCTGTTCACAGATTTGTTTTGTTTGTGTTCCTTTTTTGTCAGATCTCTGAAGTGTATTTTACTTTAAATATCCTATGTTTTAAAAATGTCGATAGCAACCTATTTAAGCCTTTTCCTGGATGAATCAGATGATAACGTTAGAAAAAGTGACTGTGTCAAACATTTTATTGGTCATATTGTCAACGTAGAGTAGTAAAGTATGATGTTAAGTAGGATGCTAAAAGTAGAATATAACTGCGAGAAGATCTGGATATCAGGTTACATTATTTATTTTATCAATGTGTAGTAAAGAATATTAAGAAGACCTTGAAAATGAAAATAAGAAGTCGCATTCCTCTCAGAAAATGTAAAACTTAATAGACACATTTCTTTAAAATATGAATGTTCCCATTTCTATAGCCCTTTCTGTTGGTAGAAATGATCACCATTTTCATTTTCAATTCAACTTTGAAATGCTAAGAATATCATTTACGTACCTTTGTGTTTTGACGTATAGTGCCCTGTACTTTATACTGTTTATTTGTTGATGTCGATGCTCTTTTTGATTGTTAATGTCCAGTTCAATGCGACACACACCCCTACATCATCATATTTACACTCTAAGGAGAACTGTTCATTATGTACCAAACAAATTTATTTTCTTAAATTAATGTACCACAGTGACGTTTCTTGTGCAACATTTCATGTTATGGCCTTGATATTCAGTGAACCTGAAAGCTTAATAAAACTTTAAAATGTTTTAAAAATACACAAAAATCGGAACTGTATGATAAGAGTTGAGAACAATTTCATTGTTATGCAATGCTTCCAGGAAATATATGTACATGCACATTCCTCTTAAATGTGTCTTTCTTGCTTTTTTTTTTTGGTGGCACCCCACCTCCCAGGTTAAACCTTCCTATGGTCCTGTCTTCTGATTATTTCTCTCCCACTTTGATCATCGAGAGATTAATTCACTTATTAGGTTTGGTAGTGATCGCCTTAAGAAAGATTTAGTGGATTGATCGCCGTTTATAAATGAGATTGTTCAATCTAATATATTTCCGTAGACAGCCAGTAAAGAGACTAATATATCAATCATATAATCTAGACACAGCTTCTAAGATAATATGGATGCAGCTGATTTCGGAATATAGACAGAGCTAAACATACTCAAGGAAGTAATAAATTGTCTAATTTCGCAAGAAACACCATTCACCAAACAAACAAAGCTTTATGATAAATGTGATGACTTCAACATTTCAATCGTAAACTTCCCTTACTTATGTAGTAATATACCCTTATCACCTGCATATGGGGTTTATGCCTCACAGTTGATTCGGACCGCAGTCGGTAGAGTGCTCGCTTCGTTATCAGAAGGTCATGTGTTCGAATCACGGCCGCGACTGTTCTAAGTCGATAAAAAATACGTAGCAACTGTTCCTTCGCAAAGCGTCCGGCACTTTGAAGTGAAAGTTGCGGGAACTTCGGATGAGACCTTAAAAACCGAGGCCCCGTGTCACGGTAGGTGTTTGCACGATAAAGATCCCACACTGCTCAATGGCCCTGAGTGCCGAGTAAAGGTCTAAATTTGAAGCCCTTTACCGGTATGTGGTGAAGTCTCTTAGTTGACTTGATGCGCAAGAGCATGCTTTACATATGAAAAATTTCTTAAACGAGGCAAGCTATTGTCAAACAAGTTGATGAAACAAGGATATCAACAGTCTCGTTTGAAGGCATTTTTCAAGTTTCATGGTCGATACAATGACCTTGTCAGCAAATACAACATATCATTAAGTTAAATGCTGACTGGCTCTTTTCATACTACTTGTAATTGTTAGACCATTATTTACACACTGCATTGTCTATGAATTTTTCCGTTTCCCCCATCAAATTAAATGCTACATTATAGACAACTGCTTCTACAATATAAATGAAATTAGGAAATATTTATATTTTGTTCTGAATCATCCACAAAATTGCTTTGTTAAAAAGAAACAATTCTGTTTCTACACTCAAGTACTCTGAACTGATATTAAAAAGAGGCTTTAGTTACTCATTGGCATTATTTATGTAGTCTTTCATCGAGACCAGGACTTCCAACAATCTTTGGAATTCCATTGGGCACTAATTCTGCTTGTTTATTAGCTTGACTGCTCTTCTTTTAATTCTTATGAGGCAGAATTTATTCAAAAATTTATACAAGAGAAAAAGAAAGTTACAGATTAGCCTTCAATATGACATTATTTTATCAACAAGATATGATCAATAAACAATAGTCGATATATCTAAGTAAAAGACACAAAAATTTTCATTCATCTGTTTCATATTTGGATACTTTACTAACACCTTAACTTTATGATAATTGGACGGCGTCGGGTTTACCATCGCCACCTTTCTCTATAAATGTAGTAATATTCCAATATCACCTGCATATTGTGTAAAGATCATCCAACTGTATGCAATAGCATATTCTGAGAATGTTTAATCTTAAACCGAGTCAGACTACTGTCAGATAAGTTGAAGTCACTGGATTTCTAAAATCATTGCTAAAGGAAGCATTTTGCTAATTCAGCGTCGTAATTCAGCGTCGTTATAATGACCTTGTATGCAAATACAACCTATCCTTGAATCACATGCTATTAATCCTTGGGTTGAATCATATTTCATACAAATTTAAAATCTTTTGTTTTTTTTATATTTATTTTTACTACGGAATATACCGTTTACCTAATATAAATACATAAGGGAGAAGAATGACCATGAGGAGATGCTAACTCTTTTAGGCACCTGATCTCACATCTGGTGTGTCCAAAGGCCTGTATTTTTGCCCCCTTTACGATATTTATTGACAAAGAATTTATGGCATTTATCACAATCAGTTATTTTTACAATTGTCATTTCAAAGGATGGACTAAATTATTGTTAATATTTAACTTAAACTTTGCCTTTAATGATCATCAATGT